AAAAATTAAGGTTTCGATTTGATAGTTTACCCATCTTTCCGGCCTTGTATTAGAAAGACATCTATTTTTTAATAATATTATTAAGATAAAAAATGCATGTCATGATATTATGATTTTTATTCTTGAGTCAATATTTTCATATAGACAACCCACTAATTATCATTTTAAACCCAAGCTGTTGCGTAATAACTTATATGATATCAAAGAAACAATTATTATTCATTTGTATATGAAAATGTGGTGTCAAATAAAAAACTATTGAAAGAAAATTTATTTGATGTTATTTAAAACATGAGTAAATAAGAAATAAAATTATCAATATTTGTTTAAAAGATATGAACATTCAACTTAGAAAGTAAAAAACTAAAATAGCATAAATATTTAAAAATATATTACTTGTATGCTAAAATATATTTATAACTCAATATTTAATGTAAATAAATTTAAATGAGAAAAATATAAGAAGTGCCAGTTTTTAACTATTATGCACTGTTTTTTTACTCGAAAATCGATGGATCCAGCTAGATCCGATGGACCCAAGCATTGATTCGATTGGGTCAAACCTAGACCCATCTGATCATTTTATTTTTTATTTTAAAAACAAACCTATATATTTATATTGGTAAGTCTTTATGATAAGAGATAATCTATATATATATAATTACTAGCTAATTCTATTTAATAAAATATTTAATAAAAATATTTTCACTTTCCCTCTAAAAGAAGTTACATTTTTTTAATTAATTACTCATTAATCCCACATTTAAGAAGATTTTTTTTAGTTAAACCTAATTATTTAATAACTAAATTAAAAAATTTTCTTTTAATTAATCCCACATTTATGTTAAGTACAGTATTATCGTAATATCTTATCAGTTTTTCGAAAAAATAGTGACTTTTTTCAATAAATTTTATAAAAATTAGTTAAATGTGTTTATATTCATATAAATCAGAAAAAAAAAATTAACTCTTAGATATATAAAAAGAACATCGTTGAAATAACTTGAATCCACAAAAAAAAATTAAACATACATAAGAAAATTTCTGACTGTGATTAAATATAACAAAAGGGCCTTAATCGGCCTCTTAAAATCACGATGCGTGCGGTTCCAATCCGTCGGAAGCTAACCCTAATGGGAAGCTCATGATATGAGTTTTTTTTAAAAAAAAAAAACTCAAAAGAAAAATATAGATCTTTACAGATCTATTATGTCATAACGATTTTAATCGAAAAATTGTTCAAAAAGCAAAACAAAAAAAAAAATCAAGAGAAAAATGTTGTAGATCTTCAAAGATCTATCATGTAATCTCCCGATTTTAACCGAAATACAATGAATTAGTAAATCAGTTCTTTATAATCGGGACGATTTCACTTTGTCATCTCTCTTTTGTCTCGAAAAAAATAATCTCAAGTGTTTTTTTTTAATATTGGTTTGAAAAACATAATAAAATCACCGATGAATCATACTTTTTGGCAATATTATTGGCGAAAAGTTGTCCAACAAAATATGAGGATAAGGGTTTTCAGTACAGAGAACAAAGAAGAGAGAGAGAGTCGCCGAAAGAGATTTGAGAGAGGCGAGAGAAATGCGTTTATTGTAGTAGGATTAGGGTTTCTCAGTATTTAAATGTCCAAGCCAGCTGGCTAGACATGTGTCGATTCTTGATTTTGCATGAAGTAAGAAATGATCTTTTTGCCCTTATTCAAAGTCGTATTGCTGCTCCATTCTTCCTATTGGGCTGTTTGATTTCAGCGGCCATATGTTAAATAGTGCCCCATTGTTAAAAGGGAAATTTTTATTTATGCTATGTGATTTTAAATTAATTGCAACTTTACCATAGAAGTTGAAATAATTATGTTTATACCTAAAAGACCTTATTTATATATATTAATGCCTAAAGTCAGTTACCATATCCTTTCCACCTCCATCCCCCTTTTTATGGGCATGATTAAGAGAGAGAAAATAACTGACTCGTTTAATTCCTTAATTCGCGCAACTTGAATTCCTTAATTCACGCAGCTGTCAAGTGGTATATATTGGGTTTATGTTAGTATATTTTCAGTATATGTTGCAATGGAAAACATGTTTTCTATCAAAAAATTATGTCTTCCTATTTTTTCGAAAAGAAAGAAACACACGCCGCCGAGCAGAATTTTTTTGAGAATCAGTCGACCGACGGTCTTCATTCATAATTTTTACGTGATCTCGAGTGTATATCTTAGGTATATTTTATGTATATGTGGGTTCTAAAATCGATTTTGAGAAACGATTGAAACTCGAGTGTATATTTAAAGTATATTTTATGTATATGTGGTGTCGCGGATTTGAATTACGTGAATCTCGAGTGTGTATTTTATGCATATTTTATGTATATTCTATGTATATTTTATGTATATGTGTGTTGTACAACTTTGGTATATACCCGCAACGTGTAAATTTTCATATCTGATGGTAAACATGTAAATCATGTACAGAATTTTCATACCCGAAACATACATATTGTCATACCGAAACATATACTGAAAATATACTATATATACTCACAACATATACCCGCAATATGTACAGAATAGAACTATCTATCAACAAATCAAGCACACCAAGTGTTCGACAATTACCCTCTGAGAAGATTTTCGTCAAAACAGATAGAAAAAAACACCATGCCCACTGAACAGATTTCTTTCATCGTCGATTCACACTTGACATCCATGCCCACGTTTTGGGCAAAAAAAAAACATCCATGCCCACAGATTTCTTTTATTCTTATGCTCAGTGATGATAACAATGACTAACTACAAAGCACAATTGTTTATCCATGTGTCAGTAATCAATTTAGACAATTTTGTTGGAAACAAACTTAAATATTTATTGAGAACTACAATTACCTCTTCTTGCCCGAGTTATATTCGGTGATGTCGGGCAGTGCCAGAGTTGCACCGAGCTTCCTCGCAATCAAAACAACATTTGATTAAATATCTCATTGTAGAGTGATACGAGCGATGGGGCAGTGGAGTGGTTTTGGGTGGAGAAGAATCTACCTTTTTTGTTCCTATTTTTTAAGTAAGTGTATCTTTAATTTCAATTAAATATCTCATTTTCCTTTAATGTGGAGGTAAAAAGTTACTAACGGTTACACAATGTATTGTAGGTTTAATTGAAATATTTTTAGCTTCTTTAGGTAATTTTATAAATAATAATTTAAGGGGTGCAAAAGTGTTATATAAGATCAATATGTTAGTGTGGGGTGTAATTTCCTCTTGTTAAAATACTGGCCCAAGCTGAATTTTTAGGAATGGCCTAATGTAAAATAAAACCTAATTTCTAAAAATAGCCCAATTGTTATTCTCTTTCAAAATTTGGGCTCATATTTTATAAATACATGACCCAAAATAGATTGATACAATATATAGTACAAAAGAATTAATTTGTGAAACAAAATTGACCTCAAATTAAAACCATTACATAAATGATTTTAAAACATATAATATTGATTTTTATATTACAAGCTTTCATGAAAATATGATTGCTTCATTTTATTATTGCAACAATATTTTATATAATAAATCTTATAATATAAATAATTTATATGTTGTGTCTAAAACTTTAAAAAATACATTGCAGCTTATAATTTAACTCTATGAATTTAATTATTGTGAGTACGTTATCTGATATGCCTACTGCAACACTTTCCTTCTAAAGATCGGTTATCACTTAAAATTTGCATTATATTATCCAAGAATATGATATATACTTTGTTTATTGTTGTATTTTTTGTATCATTATTAAATGTTTATCTCATTATAAGGTAGATTGTTATTATTGTATATATTTTGTTGATTATGAATTAATTTTTTATTTTAGGTATTCCATTCGCAAATTCTCAAGGTTCGTCTCAGAATAGTTCCATAAGTCACATCATAAATGCTTCTTCGAGCGGTTAATTATTTTTGATTTATTTTACAATGGACAACCATGAAAATGCGCCCCTGAGAACGTTGATTAACAATATCCGCAAGGGTAATTTTATACTCATTATAAATTACTTTAAATTTTTTGTTTATATAAAAAATTAATATTATATTTTCTCATTTATATTTAGATAGTATTTTTTTATTAAGAAGCAAAGACAATCTCTATCAATCAATAAGAGTTAAGGACAAACAATATAAAGAAGTGTTTCTTATGTTATGACATGATCAATAAGAGTCAAAGGCAGTCTCTGTCGCACGTTGGCTTACTACTGAAGAGCTCTGCATTTATTCATGAGCAATTATACGTGGCGCTTTATAGAGTTACGAGTCAGTGGGGTTTGAAGATTTTGATTTGTGCTGATGGAGATTCTGACGACAGGAAAACCACGACGTTGTTTTATAAAGAAGTGTTTAAGAATATTTATATTTGTTTTCTTAATTTTTTTTATTATTTTTTCTTGCATCATATAGTTTTGCGTGCAAATGCACGGGACAAAAACTAGTATCTTTAAAATCTGACGTGTAAGATTTTCATAAATAATTTATTTTTTTTTTATTTTTATAATACATACATATAGTAAAAAATAATAGATATAATTTTATTTTATTTTTATATTAATTACCCCAATTCAGTAATTAATAGATTCAGCCCACGGTTGAACGGTCAGCTGGAGTCATTTTGGGCCAGGGGCGGCTTAAAAACATCGCTTTTATTTTATGCACTAAAATATGAAAAGGCACCTATCTTCCTTTCTCTCTCTAACACGCATCACATTCACACGCAGAGAGGGAGAGCCGACCACATCTGAACGCATCTGTCATCCTACAATATTCCTGAAGTGGGTTTTTGGACCCACTGCGTTACAGGTGCCCATTATTTACATTTTTTTTTTTTAATTTGTTATCCAGTTTTGACTTTGTATTCACATTAAATGGACTTCCCAGGGACCTAAAATTTATTCAAAACCATCCCAAACGACAACACACTCACAAATGACAATTTATTCTCCACTTTCTTTTGAACTTTTTTTGGGTTCCCAGAATCATTCATTTGAAACGTTGAAATACAAAAACCCAAATCTTTTTTCACCCTCAATTTTCTTTTGTTCCTGTCCAAGAATTTTCTGGCCCAGAATCTAAAAATCAGGGGATTGATTTGTGTCTGCCACGAAACAGTGAGTTCTCAGTATTTTATGTTGCAATCATATTTTTCCCGACATGTTTTTATTGTGTTGTGTTTAAGTTTTTTCTGAAAAGTTTTTTTTTTTCCTTTTTTTTCNTGGAGTCCTTGAAAGCTTTTGAATGGCTCTCTCTCCACCATTCCTCTTCTTCAGGTATTTTCTTATATTGATTTCTTTGGAATTTATTTAATCCTGTTTTTTTTTTTCAGGCCACTATTCTTTAAGAGTAGTTGTTCTGTTTACTTTTACATAATGGAGATATATATAAAATGAAAAGAATTGTTGATCACAAACTGGTCCACTAGCTTCATCAAAAAAATGAAAAATTCCTGCTAGAGCTAGTTAACTTAATTCAGAAACATTAATTTGTGCAGCCATTAAATTTTCAGTTTTTAATTTTTATTAGTCTGAATTTTACATAGTAAGAATGTGTTTTCTATTTTTTATTTTTTTGGGTGGCAGATGAGTCCCCAGTATCAGTTGTGAGAGTTCCTCAAGTATATGCTCCAAAATCACCAGCTCCTGGCTTTTTTTCACCCAAAGGTTTGGTATTTACCAGTTTTAGTCATTTGTTTATTTTTTTTTTCTGAAAACTTCATAATTGACTCATTGAATACTGAGTTTTTAATACTATTGTTTGTGTCAAATGAAGATACAAAGGAAAAGAAGGCAGTTGTTGAGGAGAACTGGAAGAGTGTTAGGCCAGCATCAGCCCCACGGCCACGTGCTGTCTTGTCAAGTCCCGGTAATTTTCACATCATTCAAACCTTCATAAGCATATAATTTTTTTTTTTGTCTTATCTATTTCTTGTTCGGATAATTTCAGAATAATAAACAACACATACTGGATGAAGTTTTTCTAGCTATGTGTAGAATTTTGATGAAGCCATAGAAAATCTTGCAGATATTTGTTCTAGAATTGGGATGGTTATGAAAACTATCCCTGTGGTTTAGTCTTGAATTCGTTTTTTCTTGAGGCTGCTATGCATTTTAATTGTGTTTTTTATTTTTATTGTTAGTATCCAAGAACAAATTAAAGCTCAAGCTCATATAGTTTTGAAATGCAGATTGAACAAATATGCATTATTTGCTCAATCTGCTAGCTTTGATAAAATCCTTGCTGTTCTTAGAAATTTACCGCACATAATAAAATCGATTATCCTTTTCTACGTTTTTTTTCACTCATTGTGTAATTAATCTAGGCACTATGCTCAGAAAATCATTCTTTTTATTTTTTCCTCTTATTCGAGTCAGATAATGACGGGCTCATCGGTAGCAAAACACTGGCAAGAGGAAAGCAATTTTCCGGTCTGAAAAATCGGCCTGCGAGCCAAAACAGACACAACCAGTGTAAGATTTTTCCAAAATCTTCAAATTTTGAAGGCTTTACATTCACCGCACAAGGATATCACAAAGAATCAGCTGAGCTCAACAACAGTCTTCGTGCGAAAGGCAGAACAGCAGTATATCGGAAAAAGATAACCGCTCAATCACCATAATCGATGTTCGGGGAAAAAACGAATGGACTGAATGAATATGTGTTATAGACCATTTTCTGTTCTTCTTGTTGGAGGGAATTTGGTAAAGGAAAATGCACTTGCTTGAACTAGTATTTTTGGATGACTGGATAAACAGATATTAGCTTTTGTGTGAGCCGTGAGGTGTGTGAATTCAGTCTTGTTTCAATGTAATGTAAGTGAAAAAAAGATCTAATTGGAAGAAAAAAAGAAATTAAAGAAAAAAGAAGGAAAAAAGAACAAGCAGTTTGACTGATCTAGCTACATTTCTTTCCATAAAATGGATTCTTCAAAATTTAATTTTTATTTATTAGTTTCGATGGCCTAATTTCAAGTAGCTTTAATGGATGGAATTCTTATATATTAGTTCTATTTGTACATGATTCTGTGCGCATATATAAATGTAAATAAAATATTATAATTCATATGTATGGATATTATATTTAAAATTTATCAAATATTATATTTAAAATTTATAAATTTGATAATGAGCATAGTAATTTTATTAATTTGACCATTTATATATCTCTTTATATTATATTGTTATAACTGATGAATAATTTTGCAAAAAATTGCACGGATTAAAATAGCCTTGTGTATAATATGATATTAATTACAATATTGTAATAGCAAGTGGTATCTTACTATAAAAGGACTCTTCCCATTATATTATTCAATTAGTATCACACAATAGGCATGGTAAAACTTGTTTCATGGCAATAAAGCTTGATATGATAAAGCCTTTGGAGAATGTGAAATTGATATTGTTGAAATTGGGCTTTAATTCCTCCTTTGTGTTGTGGATAATGAACTGCATTTCATCTCCTTCTTTCTCTTTCAATGTAAATGGTGAAGTATGTGGCTTTCTCACTCCTTCTAGAGGAATCAGACAGGGGGATTCTCTATCCCCTGTTAGTGTGTATACTGAAATCTTGGATTTAGATGTTATTCACACTGTTTATATTGAATAAGAATTGATGTTGTGATTAAGTAAAGTTCTATGTTATTTTGATTTGCACTTAGATAAATGGTTCCCCCACGGATGCATAGAAGATCAATTATCGGTTACCTGCGAAACATAAACAATTGGTATATGGAAATTGAACAAGCCATCGGAACGATTATAGTGTAGACGGTACAGTCGACCTTGGTTGATTAGTCGTATTAGTAGTCTAGTACACATTGGTGTATTGATTGGATCCTAGAGAGGAGAAGTTTGTTTTATACCTCGTAAACGAACTAGGCCTCGGTTAATTACTGCGTTCTTTTAACCCATAAGATATAAACAAACACATGTATGTAGTAGTTACTACTTTGAATCAACAAAGTGAGGTTTAATCTTATGGACCAATAACTGTCTGTTTTGGGTAGTGATTCCTACATGACATGGTGTTCTGTTATAATATTTACGGTCACCGTGTACTTTACAAAGGTGAGGTTGGATGATGTCTCCGAAGTGATTTAAGAAGAGATATTATGTTAAACCCTGCAGGTGGATTAAATTCTGACATAATAATAATGCATTGAACGGTGATAGCTTCGATTCAAGAAGTCGATTAATTTAATTATCAATAATGAAATAAATTGACGGATATTATATCTTAAACATGGGGAGGTGATTCGAGTAATTTAGAAATGGAGCTCAAATCGTAATTTGGGAATTAAATTGAGAGAATTCAATAATACCACTTTAGTGGAATGACTATATTATTCATATTTGGGCTAAGTAGGCCTGGCCCACAGTTAGATCCAAATATGAAAAGCCCAATTTAAGGCCTCCTTAGGTTCTCTATTGAAGCCTATAAATACACTTCTCTAGTCTTCCAAGACATACAACGCATAGTGATATTTAGATTCTCCTTCCCAACAAGGGAGTTATTCAGAGGTGTTAGGTAATTCAATAGAAGATCTTGAGGTAGTCGAGCACCCGACCACCATCGGCCGCCCAGCATTTCCGCGAGATGACCCGAGTCCACCAGCAATGCCCTGACGCGGCCCGCTCACTCGCAGTTAGAGCTGCAAACGAACCGAGCCGAGTCGAGCATTGGCCTTATCGAGCAGGATTGGATTTTTTTTTTGGCTGCTCGAGCTCGAGCTCGAGCTCGATTTTTGAGGCTCGAGCTCGACTCGTTAAAAAATATAAGAGCTCGAGTTCGGCTCGAGTTCGACTCAAATTCAAAATGCTCTAGCTCGGCTCGAGTTCGGTTCGAATTTTTTCAAGCAATTTTGTAAAATAACCATTAAGTATATATATACACAAGGGGTATTTTAGTAATTTCTATATCTTGAGCTGCTCGCGAGCCGCTCGACAATGCAAAATATGGGCTCAAGCTCGACTCGAGTTCGAGCTCGAGTCGAGTTTTGACCCGAGCGCTCGCGAGCAGCTCGCGAGCTACTCGACTTGTTTGCAGCCCTACTCGCAGTGCCTCAACGCCATGTCCCGCTGCACCTGCTCCCGTCCAGTCCCTGCTCCCGGTAACCCATGTGTTCCAAATGCCCAACGACGCGATCGCTGCCAGCCTGCGACGTTTCCGTGTCCATTCTATTAGGTCAATAGTCTTCGTGTTTTGGGTAATAGTGTTTCATGTATGATGTGTTGTTAGAATATATATGATAACCATTTGTGTTAGTTTAACTATGTCTCCAAAATGAGCTCATGAAGGATTATTATGTTAAAAACTCTGTAAGTGGATTAAGTTATGACATAATAATAAATATTTGAGTGGTGCTAGCTTCGGTTCAAGATGTCAGTTAATTCTTAATTGTCAATAATCAAATTAATTGATGGACATTATATCTTAACCATGGAGAGGTAATTCGAGTAATTATTATTGGAGTCTCGAATATAATTCAGGGATGATAAGGGAGTGCAATAGTGTTTCGTTAGTGGACCGGAACATTATTTAAGTAATTGGACCAAGTGGGCTTGGCCCACAGTTGGACCCAATCACTTAAGAAGACCACGTCATCACCTCCTTAGGGTCCCTGCTATAGCCCAAAATACACCATTAAGCTCATGGGATTATAATACACACGCCTCACTCATATACACGATCGGCCGCCCCCTCTCATATCCCGAGCTTTATCTTCATGTTTGTTTCTCTACCGACACAACTGCAGAGGTGTTGGGAAATATAGCAGAAGATCCCGAGGTATCGAGACCCCGAGATCAACCGCGACCACGCGAGACCCGACAACCACTGCGAGCCCGCGTTCTAGCTGTGCTTGACCAACAAGCCCTGGCGATTCACGCGAACACCCAAGCCACCGTGATCGCGACTAGGTATGGTCGGCGACTCTCCGCAGATGACCAAGCCCATATGCAGTAGCCCGAGTTCATCGCGCGCATCCTCTTGGCAACCGCAACCAGCCAGCTGTTGTCTTGCTCGATCGAGACCCGACGTCCGCAACCCGCTGCGATCGTGCGACGCCCAGTGACATCTCGATATCCGACGAGACTTAATCCGACTGCCCAATGGATTCTGAATTCTAAGTTCAGACGATCTCCAACAACGAAAATCAACCACGTCTCAGAGTACGAATTTTAAGCCATAAGTTTTCAACTTTAAACCTCTAGATCCACAGCGCGTAGGTTTATTGTTGTTGTTTGTGTTGAAAATTTAGCCCAAATCTCAGGCCCAAGGAAGTCCCAGCCCAATCCCGAGTGGGCGTGGCCCTTACTTACCCGAATTAATTAGAACCGTTGGATGAAGGGATTAAATCCCAGCCCTCCATTTACACCATATATACCCTATCTCTTTCTTTCGCACATCAGAACGTGACTCTCCTCTCTTTTCTCTCGCTGCGTTTTACTCTCTCTGTCTGTGAGAAAACCGATCGCTATCTCCTTCTCTAAACCTGTTCTTCGTGACCTGTGAGAGTGTGTGAGAGATAAGTGTCGACGTGAGTTCCGTCGGAGTGCCGCCATCTAACCGCTTCTGTGCCGTCGCTTCCCCTCGCCGGTTCCAGCCCTTGTGTGGTGCTTTCTGGCGAGCTGCTGTGAGAATGAGGTGTTGGGATCTGTGAGGATCTCGTTATGTATAAGTCACGAATTCAATAGTAAACGTAAACCTATGCGCATCGGATCTAAAGGTTTGACGTAGAGAACTTACGGCTTAAAATTGATGTAGATCTGGTTAACCACGAACAGTTGACCGTAATTGATTAACCGCAAATCACGTCTTGGGTACAAACAAGATCAGATCAAAATCGGATCAAACGGATGCAAACAGATCAAAACGAAACTTGCAGCCTGGGAGCTTCCAGCGGCGCGTGAGGCGTCGGACGGCTGCGATCTCGACGGAGATGGAAAGCTCTCGTCGAGATGGTCGTCTGGGTATGTTGTACGTCTCAATCGGACCTCCGGTTAGTTCTGTAGGTCAAAATATATTTCGTCTCGGTTTACCTACAGATCTTCTACTGTATTACTCAATACACCCTTCTTCTACTTGTACCAATAGAGCAACAAGAAGAAGATAAAACTCGAATGATATCTAGAGAGAGAGAGAGAGAGGCGTGGGGCGTGTCTCTTTGGAATGAGATTGGGATTCTCTTCTCATGGGCTTAATGATGTATATATAGAGCTACAGTAGGGACCCTTAGGAGATTAGGAAAATGGCTCCTTAATTAATTAGACTAACTGTGGGCCAAGCCCACTCCTCTAATTAATTAAATAATATTAATGGGCCACCAACATTATATTATTACACTCCATTTTCCTAGCCCAAATTACATTTGAGACTCCAATAATAATTACTCGATTTACCTCCCCACGTTTAAGATATAATGTCCATTAATTAATTCGATTACTGACAATCAAGAATTAATTAATTTATTATTATTTCACCGAAGCTAGCGCTCGTTCATCATATTCTTATTATGCCGGAACTTAATCCACCTGCAGGGTTTAACATAACAATCCTTCATGAACTCACTCCGGGGACATCATCAAACTAACGCACATAGTGACCGTAAATATCCTAACAACACATCATATATATAATAATATTGCCCAAAACAATAGAAATATTAATCCAACAAACTGAACCTCACCCTTGTGAATCAAAGTAATATATATTATATATATCTGCCTGTTTAATATCTTACGGGTTAAGAGAACGCAGTAATTAACCGAGGCCTAGTTCATTTACGATGATCAGTATAAAATGAACTTCTCCTCTCTGGGATCCTGTTCAATACATAAATGTACTAGTGCAACTAATCAGTCAAGACAAACTGTACAGTTGACACTACAACCGTTCGGATGGGGTGTTCATGTCCATCTAGGTTGTGAACAACTATTTTTGTTCGCAAGTGACTGATAGAGTGATCTTCGGTTCGCCCGATGACGACCTACCCTATCT